CCTCATCTTTCTCCCACGGAGCGGCTGGTAGTTTCGAACCACTGACTTTAAGGTTCGCAGCCCAATTCGTAACCACTACGCTACCAGAGCTCCTTGTATTTCATCTAAATAGAATCTCCAATAAGTCAGCATAAGGTGTTTCCCCCTTGTGGCTGGCCCAAATTGTGTTGATCAGCTAGCTGTCTGCTGACTGTGCCCACCTTTCGCTGTCAGTAATGCTACTGAGAACTCAGTGGTCCAGGGTCTGAGTCCCTACTTTCCAGATTTTTGAGAACATGCCCAGGAGTGGGATTGTGGGGTGCTGGGCTCTCCCGGTTCCAGGCTGCGCCCCTCCCGCTGAAGAACAGGCCACTTCACCTGAGGGATGAGGGCAGTCCCTCCTCACAGAATCTCTTGGTCCATTACATGTCCTGGTGCCTGGCACCGGGCCAGGTATTCAGGGAGCCCCACATGTGGACAGGCAGAGAGGGACACCTAACTCCCCTTTGTCACTTTGGTGTGGAGCCACCTGTTGGCAGGTTCCAAAAGTGTGGAGCTAGTTGGAGACAAAGGTCTGGAAGGACTGTGGAAGCCACAGGTGTGGCAGGCATGTGGTGTGCCTGGCAGGGGTGGTCCCATCACCGAGGTACCTGGACCACACTGCCTCCACGTCTCTCCTCCTCCTCTTCCTTTACCACACCCCTGCCCCCACGTCAGCCCTGCTGTGGGGCTCCCTCCAGGTGGTGTTTTCAACCCAGGCCAGTCTACTTCAGGGTTCTCGGGATGAAAGGGCCCACACTCAAGTCTGGTAACCTAACATTGTGGTTTAGACTCTGAATGCCCGCCTCTTTGAGACTGGCCGCGTCCCCATTACCCTGTGGGGCTGGCCCAAAAGCGAAGTAGCACTTGACGCAGAACTTCTAAAAAGAAGGCTGGAATTCCTGCACCCCCCTGCGGCCATCGAGGGCAGCCCGGACCACCCCAGAGCAGAGAACAGCCCCTCCTCCCTGAAAATGAGCCCAGGCCACAGCCAAGTGTAGCCAACACAGATGACCACTGGCATTGGTTTTATTGCAAATTGGTTAACAAAAGAAGATGAAAAAAATACATCATTCACCTACAGTTTTGCATGTAGATAACTTTTTAAAAGTTGCCTTTTTCTGTAAACTATTTTATAAAACACAAAAAGAATCAGCATTTTAGGATGAGTCTGTTCGTGCCCACTGAGGAAGGTTGGGCACTGTTCCCATCAAGCTGACGGTGGGGGACTCCGAGGAGGTGGGCCGTGCTGCTGGAGACCCCCACCCACAGGGCGGCAGTGGCGACCCCCTCCCTGCTGCATGCTCTTGGCTGCAAACCCCGCCCGGGCTGCACAGAGCCCAGACGTGCTGACATCCTCAGAAGCCAGACTCGTTCATTCAGATTTTTTAAACAAAATCCACCTTTAAAAATGTATTTACAGACATTTACTCTGCCACAGGCTTATACTTGATATTACGAGGATACACTCTTCCTGGTAGTGTCCCTCTGAACCAGGAGGGGTGGCTCCATACCATCCTGGGGGGTTGCCTCTGCCAGGCGCCCCCTAGGACCAACGGCTTCCCGCACACTGTGGCGGTACACAGGACAGGAGGGAACTAAGGACAAAGCCCAGACGCGGGTTCTCTGGCAAGCTCCCTATAAAACGGAAGCCAGTCAAAGTCAGGTTCTGAGTCCTGGATGCTGTACCTGGAAATGCGCTGAGAGACACAAGGGTGAGTCTCCTCCCTGTGGGTGGGTGCAAGGGGGCTTCCCCACAGACCTGCAGACGGCTTCTCCAGCTCCATGATCCTTAGCTATCACACAAGGAGGGTAGGGACTTTCTGAAAAAACTTGCAAGACCAATAGACAACAACGTAATACTGAACCCGAAACAAAGATTCACAACTGGCACCCTGAAACACACTCTTGGTGTACCCCAAGAAAATATCTTAAAATCACGCTTACAGACATTTTTAAAATCACCAAGCCACACCAACCATGCCACTTGACCTTAGGATTCTCCTCCGGTACCCGATCTCATGTGCACATGGGTCTGTGTGCCATGTGTGGAGGACTGGCCTCCTTGTCCATTTCTAGATGCAGGTGGGACCGGACTCCAGTGGGATGGGGCATGGTGACATCGCTCAGGCCCAGGGGCCCATGGGAGCTTTTTGGACAATGCTGGTTTCAACCACCCTGCCTCCTACGCCATTTCTTTTTGGACTTTGAAAAAAAAAAAAAAAAAAAGAAATCAATAAATAAATGGCATTTATAAATCATGAAAGTTTGTTCATATGTTACACACACACAGAGTGTCTTTGTTCCAGATAGGAGAGTCACGGCTCTGAGGAGCTTGTTTTCTTGGAGCTGAGAAAAGTTGCTACCTGGTGCCCGGAAAACAGCACATATAAATAAAGAGCCAGTGTTGCCGTGTAAAACGAAAGTCCATAAATAAATACTAAAAAAAAAAAGTAAAAATCTGCGTCCTTGCTGTGTATAAAAACAGGGATTTCTCCAAAGGCTCTGTGGGCCGGGTCGGTGTCCGGCTGCCTGTGCACACACCCCAGCTGGGCTTGGGAAAGGAAGCAGAGGTCCCGGGGCCGGGGCTGTTTACTTGAAAGCCTCTGGAATGTGGGTGATCTGGGATTGCAAGCTGGTGGGCGGGCTGGAGATGCCCTCGGACCAGTCGGAGATGTTGGAGTGTGGTGACGAGCTAGACCACTGATCGGGAGACTCGGGCGACGGTGTGAGGAAGGGGTGCTCGGGCACCGGCAGCTGATGGCTGGGCGTGTTGTCTGCGGGCGAGGAGTAGCTGTGTTGGGAGGGCGGCGTCAGGAACTGGGCAGTGGTCAGGGATGGTGCCAGTGAGGGCGGCAGTGCGGTGGGTAGGACCTGGCCCTCAGGAGGCAGGATGGTATGCACGGCCAGGCTGCTGGGGCCCAGGGGCTGCACGTCCGCCTGGCTGGGCTCACCACCCAGGAAGCTCCGGCCCATGTGGCCATTGGCCGCTGAGCTCACGCTGAGGTGAGGTTGTGGCGGCGGCGGAGGGGGCTGCAGGCTCTGCTGCTGCTGAATCTGGAGGCTCTGCACCTGCTGCACCTGCTGGGCAGGTAGCAGGTGTGGCTGAGTGGCCAGCCGTGAGCCCGGCAGGCCCTGGTAGCTCACCATCTGGGACAGGGTGCCGGAGGAGAGACCACCATGCAGCGAGCCCATGACGCCGTGCTGGAGGGTGGGAGCCTGTGGGGTCAGGGCGCTGGCCGCGCCTCGCAGTGGGGTGTACTGGCTTGGCAGCCGGGATAGCCACTCGCACTGGCTGCTCAGGTTAGCAGCCCCACCCACGGTGAAATTTATGGCAGCCCCACTGGCCCCCAGCACAGTATTGGTGCTGGAGGCCACCGGCAGGTGGGAGAGGCGCGGAGGCCCCGCCTCGAAGGCCAGTCGGCCGCCCCCTCCCAGCGCTGTCATCTCGGGCTTGGCCGCCATGTTCAGGTGTGCGAGGCCCAGGTGGGCGTCAGGCATGCCAGGCAGGTGGTTGAGTGGCAAGGACGGGGACTGCTGGAACGGGGAGGGCAGCAGGGGCGGCGAGGCCACGTCCGACAGGTAGCCGTGTGGCGACTCGAGGGAGTCCACAGGTGAAAGGACACTGGTGTTGTCCAGGAGGCAGCCCTTGCCGTCTTGAGACTTCTTCCGCCGCACTTTGAGCTCTTTGGTCTCTTTGCTGCCGCTGCAGGCTGGGCCCTTGGTGCTGGGCTTGCGGACCTTCTTGCCCTGCATGGCCGGCTTGAGGCTGCCCAGGTAGCCATTGGGGGAGCAAAGAGGAGGTGACAGGGTGGGGGTGCCGCCCGGGCCTGCCCCGTGCAGCTGGGGGCTGCGGGCCAGCCCATGTTCATCCAGCAACTGCACGATGTCATGGTGCACACGGTCCTGAGCGATGTCCCGAGGCAGCCGGTCCATGTGGTCTGTGATGTCCCGGTTGGCAAAGTGATCCAGCAGCACCTTGGCTGTCTCATAGCTGCCCTCGCGGGCGGCCAGGAACAAAGGCGTCTCCTCCTGTGGACATGGCATGAGGGGGCTGTATGGCACTGCCCAGCACCCCTCTCTGGGGATAGCCCCATCCTGACCTGTCCCAGGATCCCTTCCTCAACCCCTCGCCTGTGTCTGAGCCCGATTGGACATCAGCCGCCTGTGACCGTAGCCCCTCTCGCCTCCTCCTCTTAAAACACACACACGCAAAATGCTGTAGAGATCCCAGATGGGCCCCCAGTGATCCCACCATCTTGGCCTCTCCAAGTGGACACACAATGTCCCCTCCGAGGCCACTAGAATCCTGCCTGGTCACACAAAGTCTTGACCTAGCCACGCCTGACCACCGAATCTGGGCTCAGCTGCTCCCATTAGGTGGGGCCTGCCTGCTGCTTGGCATGGGTGCTGGGGACCCCCTATGCTCCCGTTTCAAGGTGAGCTGTGTGGGGCAGAGGAGGCTTCCGGAGACGCAGGGTGGAGATCATGCTGGGAGGTGGGGAGCAGGTAAGCAGCAGGCCAGGGGGAGGCCCAGTAATCATGCTAGAGTGAGGACCAGTGCTGACCACTAAGTGTTAAGGGGCAGGCCTCTGTGAACCTGTGAGCCAGGAACCTCACTCTGACTGAGGGGGCTCGCGATCTACAGACCAGAAAACTGGGACGAGCCCACCCTGTGAACTTGAACCCGCTCCCTGTGGTCTATTCGCACAGGTAACCCCTACACCTGTTGCCCAGACTCATGCAACTCAAACTCTGGGAGATGGACCCCCCACCCACATGCCCTTGGCCCCATATGACTGACATACACCATGACCTCCACCCTCTGCCCCCATGACCCTGGCCTCCTGGACGCTGTGACGGTCAGACCCACCTTGTTGTTCTGCATGTCCTTGTTGGCCCCATTCTTAAGCAGCACGACAGCAGCGTCCACATTGTTGACGGCGGCGGCCCAGTGCAGGGCTGACTTGCCTGTGGGGGGCAGGCGAAGCGGTCAGGCGGGGCGGCAGCAGCCTGCGTCCCCACCACGATGCCACAGCTGCGGTGATGCTTACCCAGGTCGTCTGCAGCATTGACATCGGCGTGCGAGTTGATGAGGTCCTCCAGCATGCCCTCTACCGCCAGGCGGGCAGCCAGGATCAGAGGAGTGGTGCCATCGTGCATGCGAGCGTCCAGGTCTGTGGCTCGGTTCCGGATCAGGATCTGGACAGCAGTAAGGACTCAGGTTCATCTCCCACCCAGACCGGCCCATGGGGTCAGAACAGAGCAACAGGGTCAGCCCTTGGGCACACAGCAGCCACTCACTGCTCTGAGTGAGTCCTGTGTGTCCATCTGTGCAGGCAGGGGCAGTTGGGTGTGGATGTCGGCAGGGCAGTGACTGGCAAAAGCAACCTCTGCCAGGAGGGTGGGGGAACCCAGAGATCAGGCCTTCAAACCCTCACTCCAGGGCTCCCTGTGAGCCGGGGCCCCAGGTGTGCCGGTGGAGCAGCCTCTGAGCCTTCCTCTCACTGCCTCTGGCATTGCCTCCAGCCATGGCTACTGCTTCCAGGGGAGGGGCCAGGAGGCCTCAGGGCCGTGGCCTGGGAGACCGAGGATGAGGCCCATCCTTGAGACCAGGGCCATCAGGCGGGGTGGGAGGTCCTACTGCACTACCTCAGGTCTGGGTTTCCGGAAAAGACTCTGACTAGGTTGGTGCTGGTGTCCCTACAAGGTAGGTGGCAGCCTCAACCTCTGTCCCTATGAGACGTGACTGTTTGGAAGCCTGAGTTTTCTGCTGTTATATTAACGAGGGCATAATGGGCAGTGTAGGTTCTACATCTAATCCACAGCCCCGAGTGACCTTCTGGAGAAAGGGCGGATCAGGCGGACGTAGGGAGCGGCCACAGAACCAGGGAGGCGGGTGCAGCTGCCGGCAGCAGAGGAGAGAAACTGCAGGAGGCGCACAGAGGTGGGGTGGAAGCTCACCTGGAAGACCCCCTGCGCGTCGGCAGACACAGCTGCGTGCAGTGGTGTCCGCCCCATGTTGTCCTGGATGTTGGCGTCGGCGCTGGCCTCCAGCAGGCGCTTGGCAGCGTCCGAGCGTGAGTAGCGGGCAGCCAGGTGCAGGGCTGTCTCGCCGGTGCGGTCAGTCTGGTTGTGCAGGCTGGCGCCCTGGTAGATGAAGTCCGAGATGACCGCTGGCGCATCCTCCTCCTCCTCGCTGTTGCCTGTTTCCAGGCCCCCTCCACTGCAGGAGGCGATCATGAGGGGAGTAAAGCCGTCTGCAGGGGGGACAGAGGTAGGGTGGCACAGTCAGGAGGGACCATCGGTCTGAGTTGGTGCCCCTGCAGCCAGCCACACTGGGTGAACACCCACAGGTTTGAAAGCAGCGTAACATCACTGAGCTGGAAGGTCATTGGGAGTGAGGTGGCAGGAACACAGAATGATCCGTGGGGTCCTCATTCTATTCGGAATGAGAAGCACCCAGAAAACTAGCCTGTCTCCCATCCCCCTTAAAAAGCCCAACTTCCAGAGATTTATCCCATTGGGCTGCAAAGATGCACAACCAGCCATGGAGTTAGGGAAGAGGGGGCTGTAGGACCCCCTAGGCAGGAGAGGGGTGGGTAGAGGGCAGCTGGGTTGAAGATGGGTGGTGGGTGGACAGATGGGTAGTAGGTAGACAGGTGGTAGACAGGTGGGCAGACAAATGGGCAAGTGGACAGGTGAGTGGGTAGGCAAGCAGGTAGATGGTGACTGGATAGGTAGACCGGTGGTGGACAGGTGGTAGAAGCGGCACTGACCGGGCCCTCGGACGTTCACGTCCATGCAGTCGGCTTCCACCTCGCCCTGGGGTGGCGTGGGGGCCATGGCAGACACACGCAGGTCAGCGGCATCCAAGTGCTGCTGGGTCCACTGCCGGTGGTCTGTCTGGTCATCCAGGTCGGGCAGGACCACCTGTTCCTCGAACTGCAGGGCAGTGGGCAGAGGGTGGAGTCAGTGGGGCCCAGGTTGGTTGGGTGGACAGGTGGGTGGGAGCCACCGGCTGCCTTGCTTACCCGGAACTTCTTAGTGTCCAGCTCCTCGCCCCCCCACTCATTCTGATCATCGTCCATGAGGGCGCCATCTGAGGTGTTCTTCAGAGGTCTGGGGGCGGGGCGGGGGTGAGACAGAGCGGTCACTGGGAGACACCACTCGGAATATGGGGGCGCAGGGGGGTGAACACACTGTTGTGAGGCAAGTGCATGGGTCTGGGGACCAGGATCTGATAGGGGTAACCAGGTTCCCCAAAACATGGGTTGTGGGGGCACAGGCTCTGGTGGTGGTGATGGACCACGCCCCCCCCCCCCCAGGCTATACTGTGTGGTGCCAGCTTCTGCTGGGGGTAACCACGTCTCCCAGAACATGCTGAGAGAGTCTGTGGGTCTGTGGGAGTGACCAGGCTCCCTGGGGCTTACTGAGGGTGACCAAGGTCTCCCACCAAGCTTAGGGTGGGGGCCCAGGGTCTGTGGGATGGCCAGGGTCCCCCATCATGCTGAGGGTGGGGTCCCAGGCTCCCTGGGACATGCTGAAGGTGGGGCCCGGGGTCTGCGGGAACAGTCTCCTGACTTGGGGGCCCCCACTTACTTGAGGCCCACGGAGTCCTCGCCGAGGGGCTCCCGCCGCTTCTTCTTGCTGGCCTCGGACACTTTGAAGCCCTCGGGGAACCAGAGCTGGCCGTGCTGCCGCCGCCGTTTCCGGGAGAGCAGCACCCCACAGCCCACGAAGGCCAACAGCACAAAGGCGGCAGCCGCCACATACATGAAGTGTAACGGCACAGGGGCCGGCGGCTCCACGCTCTCACCTGCGGGTACAGGGACCGCCGGCCGGCGCCCGGGCATCAGGCTCCGGCTCCGAGGCCGGGCGCGGCAAACTGGCTGCCTGGCCGGGCGCCTCGCCACTCCATGGTCCCGCCCCCCAAAATAAGGTCATTTTCTGCGCGGTTCATCAGAATTGCAAACTATCGCTAAATTCTCTCCTGCAGGCCGCTCTATCTGGAGACAGCGTTCTCCCCTCTCTCCTCGGAGGGAGAGGGATTAGCCAACTTCAAATCGCTGCGCTCGCATCGAGCGGTTAAGACGAAGGATTTAGGGGGATTTTCCAGATACAAACTTCAACACTTCACACGACACCGATCAATTCTTCCCTCTCTCTCCCTCTCTCACTCTTTTAAAAAAAGCTGTAATGATTTTGAAATAATACCCGACCGAGAGAAGTCGGGGGAAGGGGCAGAAGAGAGCTTGCCTCCCACTCACGGGTGGACGTGCACCCAGAATAGTGACCTTTGGGGAGTGGGAGGTGTCAGCCTAATGGAGGACTCTCCTAAGTCGCCAGCAGAGAGCTTTGGGGGAGCCCGGTGGGTTGGGGGCACACTCACTCTGCACAGCCTCGATCTTGTAGGGGATGTTGAGGTTGCCCAGCGAGGCCAGCGCTCCCAGAAAGGCGGCGACGTCGGTGGCGCTCTGGAAGCACTGGGAGGATGACTGAACACATTGCCGGTTGTCAATCTCCAGATACACGATGGACCTGCGGAGGGCGCAGGGTGCTGATCATGGACACCCCTCCCTCAAGCATTCTAGCTCAGGAGAATGGAGGCTAGGGGCAAGGCCCAGTGACCACTGCATGCTCAGTCCTGGGGGGCTAGGAACCCCTGGAGGTACAGGTGGATAGTGGGGTCTCCGGGCTGGAATCCTGTGCTTCCTCAGCCATTCTGGGCTGTGGGCAAGTCCCGGGCTACTGGACCCCAGTCTCATATTCTATAGAACAGGGAGTGTGGATGAAGAGGAGGGTGACCACAAGGCAGGTGACTCACCCTCGAACATCCAGGGGGTCCAGCTCCCTGCGCCGGCGTCCACCCTCACTGCCGGGCAGCAGCGCAGCCTGCACCTGGCCGAGCAGGGCGCGGGGCGCGGTGGCCCAGTCCTCGGCGGGTCGCCTGATGGAGTGTTTGTGGAGTTCTTCCTCGCGGCCGTAGTATGGGAAGATCATCTGTTCACCCTGCGCGTCGCGCTTGAAGACCACGTTGGTGTGCAGCAGGCGGCTGAGCTCACGCAGGAAGTGGAACGAATTGTTGCGCAGTTGCTCAGGTGCCATCAGCACCACCACCACCAGCGTGCCGGCCGCCAGCCGCTCGGGCACACGCTCCGCACAGTCCAGCCCGTCCCATTCACACTCAGCGTTGTTGCAGCCCTGGTCACAGTGCCCATCGCTGAAGTGGTCCTTGCAGTACTGGTCATACAGCGGGCTGCAGAGGAAACACCTCAGCTGAGAGCTGCACACAGGCGTCTGCAGGACCGACAGCCTGCCCAGGGTTTCCCTGCCCACACCTCTGAGGGACCCCTCAGCCTGCCTAGGACCACTTCCACTCTGTTAGCCTTCCCTCTGGAGGCTGCATCCTTGTCCAGGTTTGAGTCTCTACCATGCTCTGGAACTACATCCAGGGTCTCCCTGTCCTGTCCCCAGACAGAATCCCAGGTTGCTCGGTTCCCTGGCCCGGCCCCTGCCCACACTCACTTGCACTGGCCCCCGCTGCCTTGGCAGTCAAAGCCGTCGAAGAGACAGCCGGCCGAGTTGCACTGAGCATCGCAGTGACCGTTGCTGAAGTACTTCCAGCACTGCAGGGAACGTGAGCAATTCTTCCAGGGGTCATCGAAGTTGAGGGAACAGTCCCCGCCGTCCCAGCCGCAGGCGTGGTTGTTACAGGTGACGCTGCAGATCTTGTTGCCGGCGTCGGCGCTACACTCAGGAATCTCACAGGCCTCCTCGACCTGCGTCGGGGGGATGTCCTGGCCAGCGCCCCCACCGAAGCTGTAGTCCAGGATGTAGCAGTTGAGCCCGTTGAACTTGGGGGGGCACAGGCAGCGGTAAAAGGGGCTCTCGGATGTGGGCTCACAGGTGCCCTGATTGTAGCAAGGGTTGTTGCCCACACAGGGGCTGCTGGCCGGGAACTGACACTCGGGGCCCGTGAAGGGGTCCAGGCACAAGCAGGTGGAGCTTCGCGGGCCCGACAGGCAGGTACCACCATTAAGGCAGTGCAGGCTGCCGCAGGTGCGGGCATCATTCTCGCAGGTGGCGCCTTCGAAGCCCTGGGGGCGGGGAAGGAGAATCAGCCTGGCTCTAGGGGCCACGCACCTCCACCCAGCCCAGTGGCCTGCTGCGCTCTCCTGGCAGCAGAGCCCTCGAGGGGACCCGGGAAGGAAGGAAGAGAGTGGGAACCCCAGCTGCCCTGACGGCTGTCTGCTCTGATTCCCTTAGGCCACCCAAGAGCCACGCTGGGGGACAGGCAGGCAGAAGGGGCCTAGGACCCCTGCCCCACTGGGTCATGGCACCTACCGCAGGGCACTTGCAGATGAAGCCACGGGCAGTGTTGGACGCAACGGCACACGTTCCTCCGTTCTTGCAGGGTTTGTCCCCACAGCCGTTAATGACTGACTCACAACGGCGCCCTAGGTGGAAGAGGGTGTGAGGGGCCGTTCTGGGGGCCACCACCCCCTACCCTGGCTCCCCGCCCAGATGCCCACCAGTGTAGCCGGGCCGACACTCGCAGCGGAAGGCGTTCACATGCTGCACGCAGTTCTGGGTGCCGCGGGCATCGCAGGGGTTGGACAAACACTCATTGACGTCACCCTCACACCGTTCGCCCACGAAGCCGGGTGGGCAGGCGCAGCGGTAGCCGCCCACCTGGTCCACGCAGGTGCCGTTGTTGAAGCAACGGGGGCTTCGCGTGCCGGGCTCCACGGACGGAGTGCAGTCGTCCACGTTGACCTCGCAGTGCACACCTGCGGATGTCATGCTGTCAGGAACGTGGCATAGGCTTCCCCGAGTGCCCAGGGTGTCCCATCAGCCCACGCCCCCACACCCCACAAGATGGAAGGCAGTTTCTGGCTCTGGGGGCCTTACCCTGCGTGCCCCGCGGGCAGGAACATTTGTAGGTGTTGGTCAGGTCGATGCAGGTACCCCCGTTTTGGCACGGGTGCGACAAGCATTCATTGATCTCCTCAGAACAGTTCACCCCGTGGTAGCCAGCAACACACTGTACAGGAGACATGGAGTCAGCGGTGACAGGGCACGGAGCCCGCTGTCTGCCCTGCTCTCTGCCCGCCGAAGCTGTTGGGAGACCTGGGAAGTTGAGAGGCACTGCCCAGAGGGGGCCCAGGGCAGGTCCCAGTGAAACTCAGATAGAGTGTGTGAGGGGGAGACTGTCCCAGTCCTCAGCCTGAACCCCTCCCATAGCCCCAGCCCCCATGCACCAGGGACTCACGATGTGCATGTCTACAGGTTTACTCTCCCCTGCTCCACTAGCCATGCGACAGACAGACAGGTGCAGTGTGACAGACAGATACAGTGTAACAGACAGGCGCAGCGTGACGGGTGCAGCGTGCTAGCCCACCTCACAGGAGTAGCCCCCTAGGTAGTCGGTGCAGGTGGCGCCGTTCTGGCAGGGGCTGGGTGAGCACTCGTCCACCTGGTCCTCACAGTAGCTGCCCGTGTAGCTGGCCTGGCAGTGGCAGTGGTGAGTGTTGCCTGTGTCCATGCAGAGCCCACCGTGCCGACACAGGTTGGCGACATCAACACCTGTAGAGGGCAGCGGGGCTGTGAGACTGGGCTGGACCCCAGGGGCCTCGCTCTCCACCCTGGCCAGGTGACAAAGCCCAGCAGTCACCTTGTTGCTTCGCAGCTACCTCACAGGACACACTGGGCACATCACAGTAGAGGCCGGTCCAGCCGCTGTGGCAGTCGCAGCGATACTGTGTGTTGGTCTGCCAGCACTTGCCACCATTCTTACAAGGCGAGGAGTCGCACCAGCGTACCAGGTTCTGGAGACAGTGAGCTGGTCAGGCAGAGGAATGGGACCCCCCCCCCCAAAGGGCCGGCTCTGACCAACGTGGCTTTCCAGGTGGGTGTCAGCGCCTCAGAGGTGGAAACCAAGGCCATGCACCTCCCACGGTACCAAGGGGCCTGGGCTGGGGTCTTGCTCGCTTCTCAGGACCCTTGGCAGAGCAGAGCAAACCCCTCACTGCCTCTCCTTGGAGGACGGTCCATCTCTGGGTGTAAGCAGTCTCTGCCTCCCCACTGGGAATGATTTCTAATCACAGGCTTCAGGGGGCACCTTCAACAGACACCGCCTTCCTGAGGCGGATTCTCAGCATGATCACCGACTTCAGCTGTCCGCAGTCACCTGGCCCCTGGCCTGCAGCACTGCCCGTGTCCCCTCACTGTACCTGGACCTGGGCAGCTGGCTCCCCTCCCATCTCACCTGGCAGTTGAGGCCGGTGTAGCCTTGGGGGCAGGTGCACTTGTAGGTGCCGTAGCTGTCCTGGCAGGTCCCACCGTGCAGACAAGGCCGCGAGTCACACTCGTTGATGTCATGCTGGCAGTAGCTGCCCGTGAAGCCAGGGGGACAGAGGCAGGTGAAGGAGTTGATACCGTCCACACAGGTGCCGCCATTGAAGCAGGAGCTGGGGAACATGGGTAATGGGGTGAGCTGAATCACAGGCCCTCCAGGTCACCTCTCTGCCTTAGCTCAGGGCCGGGGACCACATCACACGTCCCATCTCTGCCTTCTTCCTAATTAAGAGGGACTTCTTAGCTCAGCAGGACAGGGTACTACATTAAATTAGGAGGAACCGTAACTTGCATAGCTACAGGGAGAAAACCAACAATGAATGGTGAGCTTCCTGGCAGCCAAGGCAAATAGGGAAACAAGATGGGTCACAAAGCACTTGTTGTCTGGTGGCAGGAGGTCTACCAGTTCTTCAGGCTAAACCACCATGCCCAGGAGGCCGGAGCCACAATGGTCCATTCAGGAGGGACGTGGAGACACAATGAACAATGCCTGGGCTGGACTCAGCCAGCACTGAAGGCCACTCAGCGGACACCCTGGCGGCTACTACAGCAGCTTGTCAGCACACTGGGTGCAGCCCCGCGGCACGGCGCCCACCTCTCAGTGCAGTCTGGCGTGTTGGCCTCGCAGTGGATGCCGCTGAAACCGGCGGGGCAGGTGCAAGTGTAGCTGTGCACGCAGTCTGTGCAGTTGGCACCGTTGCGGCATGGGTTGCTGGCACACTCGTTGATGTCCTCTTCACAGAAAGCGCCCTGGAAGCCGGGCAGGCAGTCGCAGAAAGCAGTGTTGATGCCGTCGGTGCAAGAGCCGCCGTTGTGGCATGGGTCTGGGGGAGGCAGAAAGTGGGCCTGAGGGCGCGCACCGGCCACGCGGAGAGGCACTGAGGCCGGCCTGTGGCTCGGCTCAGGCTCTGCCTCACTGACTGCGCCTCATACCCATCTCCGTGTGGGGTCTGAGCTCACCCAGCGCTCCCACCCCCACCACAGGGCTTGACCGTCGGGCACAACATGGCTCTGTGACACTCCTCAGGGCCTGGGTGACCCCAGGCAAGCAGAGCAACCTCCCCAGACCTCAGGCTGGGGTCTGGAATCCTCCACCCTAAGTAAGGGTCACTACACTCTCAGTGGGTGTCCTGAGGCAGAATTGGGCACCACCAGCTGGGGTGGTCTAGATGGACCCAAAGTGGAGCAGTCTGGCTCCAGAACTTTCCGGGAACCACGTCTCTAACTCTTTTTCCAGGCCATGCCTGGGTGGAGACAGGTGGGCACTGGCCAGAGTCTGGCCTCGCTGTCTGCCACCACCGTGCACTCACTGGGCCGGCAGTCGTCGATGTCGGTCTCGCAGTTGCGTCCGGTGTAGCCTGCCAGGCAGTGGCAGCGGTAACCGCCGTTGGTGTTCTGACAGGACGCACTGTGTTGGCAGGGGCTTTTCACACACTCGTTAATGTCGATCTCACAGGTCTGTCCTGGATGGGGGGGGGCACACTGCGCTGTCTCTGAGGCCCCACCCTGCACGCCTCTGCCTTCCCCTCAGGCCCATCCTCTAGGCACTCTCCAAAGAAAGATGCCATGTCTTGGACACTGCTGCCCCCACTTTGGGGCCAAGAGGGCTCTTGAAACTCAGGATGGGAAGGCCCTCTCTCTAAACTGTTCCCAATTCTAGACCCTCCCTGGCTTTCAGCAGCATGCCACTCCTTCTTCCTGCTTAGAGCTTCCCTGGGACTCCCCCCCCCCCAGTCCTGCCCAGGGTGAGTGTCCACCTTGCCAGCCAGTCGGGCACACACAAGAGAAACTCTCATAATCCTCAGACTCTCGGCACTCGCCGCCATTCCTGCAGGGGCTGGGGGCGCACGGGGCCAGCACCACTTCACACGTGGCTCCTGGAGGCGGAGAAACAGGTGATGAGGTCCAGGTCACAAAGGGCCTTGTGGGAAGCAGGAGCCCGTGTGAGTGGGGAGCCCAGTCAGGGGAGGAAAGGGTGGGACAGAGACAGAGGGACTGCAGCTGGACCTAACACCTAGACCCTAAACTACCAGAGTCCCCACAGGGTGGGCCTGGCCTGACTCCCAGCCCTGAACTGGCCACCCTCCACTCGGCCAGTGGGGTTATGCTGCCTCAGTAGGTCCCGTGGTTGGGGAGCACTGGGCCATGGCAGGGGCCTGGCTGACACGCCTTATGGGAAAGAGGGCAGCGAGGCTGCCTTCTTCCATTTCCCCATCTGCCGGTTTCCTGTTTACGGACTGAGGGCTGATGGCGCTATCGTCCTTGTCACGGCTATCTGCCTGACCGGCCCTGCGATTTTCCAGGTCTTTCTTTCTATAGGTTTCCACAGTGACCTGGGCAGCCAGGAAACTCGCTAGAGTTTCCGACAATTGTGCAAGGGGAAGCAGGAAACAGGCAGACAGGAAGCGGTCAGCACAGGGCGCCCCGCCCGCAGACCCTCAGGGCCCCAACAGCCTGGACTGAGTCTGAGGCTCGGGTGCACACTGGCAGGCAGGTCTGGCAGCCTTGGGAGAGGAAACCCGGCTGCAGCCACGGCCACCCAGGTCACGGGAACCTGGGAAGAGCACTCCTGCCCACCTGGCCTGGCCCCCCCAGGGAACCCAGAGGTCCAGATGTGGTGACATTTGCTCTTCCTTCCAAAACCCACCCCGCTGCTCTGAAGTTGGTTCTGACTGCCCCTAGGGTTTCTGAAACTGTGGCCCTAAGGGGACAGATAAACCCATCGTTCTCCTGAGAGGCTGGGGGGTGTGAACCACCAACCTTAAGGTTAACAGCCCAACATTTCACCTTCTGTGCCACCAAAAAACTCTCTCCTGAGTAGGGACCATTCCTGAGATTCCTGGGCCAGCCAATGGCTGGATGGGCTGCCCAGGACAGAGGGCTCCTTGTTCCCTCACACAGAGGGGGTCACCGTCAGAACTCTGGGGCCCAGCTGTTGGAAGGGGAGGGTCGCAGAACCCAGAGGACACAGCCAAATTGATGGAGGCGTCAGACAAGCACTGGGAACACTGGTATTACAATGGTTCTCACTGATGACCTGTGAAGGGTACAGCTAACCGGGGCCGCATGTTTCCACAGAGGGGCCCACTCCTAGCATCCCTACAGGACAGAGGTCAGCTGCTCCTTAGGGTTTCGGAGACTGTAAACTGTTACAGGAACAGATGGCCTCTTCCTTCTCTCAGGGGATCAAACCATCAGCTGAGCGTTTAACCACGGCACCACCAGGGCACCTTGGGAGGCATCCTTACCAAAACCCCAACCCACTGTCACTGAGCCGATTCTGAGTCCTAGTGTCCCTACATGAGGTTTCCGAGATTGTCCATCTCTGTGGGAACAGCCAGCCTCATCTTCTCCCCAAGGAGCCAACGGCGATGCCTAACCCACTGCACCACCAGAGTTCTTGGTGGGAACCTTCTAAGGTGCTTGTGGAGAGAGTGCAGCCAGGCCTGAGCCCGCGGCCCCTCACCCGGCCCCTCACCCGTGTACGGCAGCAGACAGTTGCACTTGTAGCCAGAGACATCATCGATGCAGGTCCCCTGGTTCAGACACGGGTTGGACGCACACTCATTGATGTTGGTCTGGCAGTTGGGGCCTGGAGGGGGCGGTAGCGGTCAGTGTGTCTGTGCCCCATTCTCTCCCCCTTGTCTGCTGGACAGCGCTGGACTGAATGAGGGCCTGGGAACCGACCCCAGGGCCCACTGTCAGGGATAACAAGTGTGTCACGGGAGGGGAGGGGCTGGGCAGCCGGCAGCCAGACAACGTCGTGAGGTCAGGGTGCCCCAGGCCACCTACCACTGAAGCCCTCCCAGCATGTGCACACGTAACCGCTGGTCATGTCCTTGCAGGTGCCACCATTGACGCAGGGGTTGGAGGCACATTCGTTGTTGTTGATGTCACAGTTGACCCCACTCCAGCCGGGGTCACAGTTACACGTGTACCTGGGGGGGCGGCACCACCGTTGTTCAGACACGGCCACCATCCAACCGCCACCCTACAGTCTGGCTGCATGGAGGCACAGGTCCACTCTGACCCCCAGACCCTCACCATCTGAGTGGGGCAGCAGGGCCCACCTTGCCCAAGGCTGTGGCCAGGGTTTGGTTCTGTTAGGTTTGGACTGGCTAGAGTGCACCAAGGACGGCCCCTCTGTGCGCAGTGAGGACCAGGAGGTCCCCTGGCACACGGCGGCTCCCATCACGATACCTCCCCATGCATTCTGGTGGCACTGTGGGTCAGTACTGGACAGCTAACCACAAGGCCGGTGGCTCAAACCCACCAGCCACGTCTTAGTAGAAACCCTCTGGGCAGTTCTATTCAACGCCACAGGGTTGCTGTAAGTCACAATGGACTTGATGCCCTGGGGCTGGACAAGGCTGGGCAGGGACAGCGTGGACACGAACCCATTGAGACCGTCCTGGCAGGCTCCGTGGATGCAGGGGTTACTGCTGCACTCGTTGACCTCGGACAGGCAGGTGGGGTCGTGGTAGCCTTCGGGGCAGCGGCAGGTGAAGCTGTTGATTCCATCCTCACAGGTGCCTCCATTGTGGCAGGGGTTCGCCACACACTCATCGATGTTAATGTTGCACATGCTTCCTGAGAAGCAGATGGGCTGGGGCGCTCAGGCCAACAAAGCTAAAGCTTGCTGAACCTGCTTCCCTGACCCTCAGCCCTGGGCTCACATCCCTCCCTCAGGTACTTCTGTGCGTAAGCAGAGTGAACAGCATGCCATGGGACCACATGGAGCCATCTGCCTAGTAAGGACCACCAGCCGGGCCACCAAGTGGGTGGTGGTTGAACAGAACCAAGACTGGGCTGGGGTCTCGGAGCACCTGCCTGCCCTCTCCCCTGGGCACACACACAGGGTCCCTCCTGCACCAGGGCCAGCCCTCACCTGTGTAGCCTGGCTCACAAGCACATTCGTAACCATCAATCTTGTCCACGCAGGTGCCCGAGTCACAAGGGTTGCTGGCACAATCATCCAGGTTGACCTCACAGTTGGGACCTTGAAGGGGTGGTAGTGGGGTCAGCATCCGCCCCGGGTGCCCGCCCGTTGGCCCGCCGACCCACTGGCCTGCCCGCCCACACACCTGAGGTTCCCTGGAGGCAGAAGCACTGGTAAGCATTGTCTCGGTCCTGGCACGTGCCCCCATGGCGGCAGGGCTGGCTGTGACACTCATTGATGTTGGTCTCGCAGCGATGACCCGTGTAGCCAGGCCGGCAAAGACACGTGTAGGCGGCAATGCCGTCCTTGCAGGAGCCGTAGTGGCAGGGATCGGGGTCACACTCGTCAATGTCCACCTCACAGTGGGTGCCTGTGTAGCCTGTAGGAGGGGCAGGAGGCTCACAGCTGCCCACACCCCGAACGCAAGGCCACCCCCCCCAATTCAGATTTGGCTGTCTGAGCCACTGTACTCTGGGTTGAAGGACAGGGACCCCTGGCGCCCTCTCAGGTCCTGGTGGGGCGGCCCCAGCCCCCACCTTCAGTGCACACGCAGGTGTAGGTGTTGGGCCCGTCCAGGCACTTGGCACCATTCTTGCATGGGGTGCTGGCACACTCGTCCACGTCATACTGGCACAGGTGCCCCGTGAAGCCTGTGGTCGGGAGGGACAGTGGTCAGGACCAATCTCCTCCTGCCTGAGCTGCCCTCTTCAGCTCCTGTCCTTCACAGCAAAAGCCCCCTGTGCCCCCAGGAGGCAGGCTGCACCTCTCATTCCACCAGGTCCCTGGATGTCTGCGGCAGCCTGCAGACCCTCATTGCTGGAGGCCAGGGCTCTGACCACATCATTTGCCAGGGTTCGCCCTCCCGTCCCCCGAGTGTCCTCCCTAGGTGGCTATCTGTTTGTCCTCTGTCTGGCTTCGGTGCAGCGTGAGCTATACACTACTAGCCAGGCCCCCTTCTCAGATCTTCTTGCAGCCTTGTGGGGGCAGGGTGTACAACCTCCTCTGGTCGGGAGGCTGCAACCTGTGGTCTGCCAGGAGGAAGACACGCTGGGTGGATTCCTCCAGGTCCCCTGGTCATACACCCAGCAAGGCCGTGGCCAGCACTTGGCACCCTCGCCCCGTGCCTGGCCAAGCCTGGACCTCTGAGAATACTGCGCTCTCTGGCTCTCTCTGTGCAGCTCCAACCTCAGCAACAGTGGTGGTCCCTAGAACTGAGGCCTGGTGACCCCCTCCATGCACTTCCAGTGGGGCCTATGGATGCTGCGGGCTGTGGAGGACCCCACCTGTGGCACACTGGCAGTGGAACTCGTTGATCTTGTCCACACATTCCCCATTGTGCAGACACGGACTGCTGGCACACTCGTCTGTGTTGACCTCGCAGTAAATGCCCTCGTAACCTGGGAACAGGGTACGTGTGAGATGACAGGGCCCAGGCTGGGAAGATGCAGCCCGCCAGCGCTCTCTGCACACCTGGCTTTCTGCAGGCCCGGGCCCCCACCCTCAGACTGCCTCATCTGCCCAGGCTGGACCGCTATTTCCTCAGGTCCCCACATCGTCCGTGGCCCGGGGACATACCGGGCATGCAGATGCACTGGAACTCTCCGATCTGATCCAGGCAGGTCGCATCATTCTGACAGGGGCTGGACACGCATTCGTTGACGTCGATTTCACAGCGGGGACCTGTGTAGCCCTGGAGACACCGGCACTCGAAGGACCCCAGCGTGTTGATGCATTTGCCCGCATGTTCACAGGGGTTGGCGCCTGCAGGGATGGGGCGCAGGTGAGAGTTCACTTGTCTGAGGCTGGTTAACCTCAACAGACTGGCGTCCCCTGAAGGAGGGTCTACTTCCATCTTACTGTGCTCACAGACTGCTCCCCTACTCCCACCAAGCAATACTCAGCGTGCACTTGTCCACGTCCTGGCTGCAGGTGGACCCGTGTCCCGCCCCCCCAACCCCCAGCCCTGCACACACACCCAGTGAGCACTCATCCACATCCTGGCTGCAGGCGGGCCCCGTGTACCCTGAGGGGCAGGTGCAGATGGCTTTGCCGTTGACGGGGTTGGTGTCACAGTTGGAGCCCTCGTTGCAGGGGTTGCTGATGCAGGCGTCATTGAGATGACATAGTAGACCTGGACGAGGCGGCAGGGTCACCGTTCCAGCCCATCAGGACCTTCTGGAGGCGCCCCCACCAAGGCCCCAGTTCTTTTGGGGTCTCCTTGGGAAGCAGGAGGTGACAGAGCACTCCCCGGGTCTGGTGACAGAGCACTCACCCGTACGGCCATGGGGACACTCGCAGTAGAAGGAGGCCACCCGGTCATGGCAGGTGGCGCCGTGGAAACAGGCAGCATTGGCACAGTCATCGATGTTCTCACTGCAGTCCTCGCCAGTCCAGCCATTCACACACACGCAGTTGTAGCCACCGTGGCTGTTGTGGCAAGTACCACCATTCTGGCAGGCGTTGGGCATCAGCTGGCATTCATCCACATCCTCCGTGCAGTACTGGCCTGTGGGGGCAGGAGGTCAGCCTGGTGGCGCACAGCACCAGCCCCCGCCTGTAGCCCCAGGCTGTGCTCAGAATACAGACGTGGCCGCGCTGGGCTCGTCCTGTCCAGGGCTAACCACAACCGGGACTTGGCGAGTTCAGGTGCTCGGCTGAAGCTCATCTATCCGGCTCAAGACTGGAGGGGGCAGCATCGGGGCTGCTCCCTGGGGGTCCTCCACCCTGGGTTGTGGCGGAGGGGTTACGACAGTTGCACTGTTTTCCTCTGCCAACCTCAGATCTCCAAGCCTGGGCCGGCCACACACCACTGTCCCATTGGCACAGCAGATGAGGGTACTGTGGGGCCCCATCCAGATATGCCTAGCTATCCACTGGGCACAACCTTGCATGCACCTGTCTACTCTTGCAAGTAGCAGTTTCCTAGGGTGCACATACTAAAGGGTCATGGGGACCCACACACACCTGTCCACTCAGGTGGGCAGCGGCAGTTGTAGGTGTTGACGCCATCCACACAGGTACCTCCGTTCTTGCAGCTGTTCCCTGGGCAATCATCCACATTCTCCTCACAGTTCTGTCCAGTGAAGCCTGTGTGGGCGGAGGGGTCAGTCAGCCCCTCTCCTGGCTGGACCACAACCCCACGCCAGAAGAGCTGCCCCAACACCCCCCTGTATCTGTGCTAAGGCCTGTTCCAGACCCCCCAGGACACAGTCCTCCCACTGTGCACAGGGCCAGCTGAGCCAGCCCATCGGTCCAGCAGCAGAGGGCTCTGAAAGTTCTGTTGCTCAAACCCTCTCATCTCACAGTAGCTGGGGTGTTGCCTTCTACAACACCCCAGAAGGTGGCCACACACATTCACTTAGAGAGTGGGCGCTGCAGTCTGAGAACCAGGGAGAGCAGGCCGCCCTGGCACTGCCCTGCCTACCGCACAAGCTGGGCCCTCACCTGGCCCACCTCTGCCATGCCGCCTTGAAGTCCTTGTTAGCTATTAATCTGTTCAATGATCAACCCAGAAGGTGTGCCTGGCAATAGCCAAGTTACTAATTAACGCCCCTCCCAGGGTGCCTTTGAACCCCTCCTGTCCTTGAACCCCCCAGCCCCTCCTTGGGACCCTCCCACCCCACAAACTGCAGAGCCAGGAGTGGATGGGGCACCCCAAACCAGAGCCTGGACAACACAGTGTCTCTGAGGACTAGGGCCGGCCCTTAAGGGTACTGCTCTCAGGTAGAGTCAACACGGAGCCCCAGGCTGGCTGCCCCCACTATGAGAAGCTGTGCCCACCCCACAGTTCTCTGCCCCAGTTCCTTCCCCTGTAAGACAGGCAGCTCTCCTGGGACCCTGACCACACAGACAGGGCGGTGGGCCGTGGAGGAGGCAGGACCCCTAGGAAGGGACCTGGAAGTGGGGCCACCAGGACAGCTAACGGGGGTCCTGGGATGAACCAGGGTGGGCTATGTGAGGAGATGCCCCGCCCTATGAGGGGGTCACCATTCTAACCCGTTACCGCAGCCCAGGTGACCGATACAACCCATGGGAGTGCACCGCGATGCCCATGGCACTCCGGGTGGGGCTGTTCCCAAACTGTTTCCATGCCCTGCTCCAAGGGGACCCCACTGGCCACTCCTTCCCTCTGACTGAGCTTCCGGGCAGGGCTGGAATGGGGACCCCTGCTGGAAAACACAGGACTGCCAACAAGGCATTTGAACCCAGAGCCCAGCCCAGGGCCACCGGGCAGTGGGAGGGAGGAAACGGCTGGCTTGTTTGGATCAGGAAGGGTGCTGATGCCCCACCCCCACCAAACCCACCAAACAGTGACTTGTCGGAAATGCTCAAGTCTGGTGTCTGCGCACTGGCTAAGGTTGCTGACTGTGTGGTGGGGGAGGGTAAGGGAAAAGGCCTCCCACTTCCCCTTTGCAGTTGGGGTGGAACGGCCTCTGGGTTACCCCAGGGTCAGAAGGGCCCCGGCTCCCCGCCTGGCCCCCCCTCCCACTTGGCCCCTGCCCCCTTCCCATCCCTCTGAAGCATGGGGGGCGGCGCAGCTGAGCAGACTGGAGGATGCCAGCCCCTCACCATCGAAGACATTGTCCTGAGTATTTTTAGAGCAGAAATGCTGACTCAAAACACAAACCACAGCAGACCCAGGGGACGGCTTGAGTGTGTCCACCCTCCCCTGCCCAGGGAGACAGGGAGGCCCGGGGAAGTGACAAGCACCGAGGCCCTGGGGAAGCCCCTGTCGACACCCACTGGGCACTGTCTTGTGTGTGGGTTCCAGGAGACACGGATAATGTGGGGGTGTCTTGGAAGCAGTGCTGGGGGCTGGGGCTTCTACTCACAGACCTCCCTGGTCCCTGCAACCTTAGGCGAGCGACCAACACCATGGGGTCCCCATGCTCCCGCCCTGCACGGAAGAGGGGGATAGAGGCGGGTACCTGGCAGACAGGTGCATTCGTGAGTGGTATCTCCTGTGGGGCGGCAGGTGCCCCCGTTCTGGCAGGGCGAGGGGCTGCAGGGCTGGTAAGGCAGCTCGCAGTGTGGGCCAGTGTAGGTGGGACGGCAGGTGCAGCGGTAGGAGCCAACCTCGTTACGACAGGTGCCCCCATTGCGGCAGGGTCCAGGGCTCTGGTTGCATTCGTTCACGTCTTGCCGGCAGGTGGGGCCATGGAAACCCGGTGGGCAGCGGCAGATGTATGAGGCCTCGAAGGGCAGGCAGTGGCCACCATTGGCACAGGGGTTGGAGGCGCAGGGGTCGGCCTGCTGGCACGTCTTCCCTGGGGGAGGCAGCGAGGGGTCAGGCCCCAGGCCGTATCATCTGAGGCAGCTGAAGACCCCAGGGTTTCCAGAGGCTGAGGAGCTTGGCAGGGAAGATGGCATTGGGATCTGAACCCAAACCCGTGCAATCTACAATCCCGTTGGGCAAAAAGAGGGTCCCTTCTCACTGATGAAGGGGCAGTGAGGGTGGGAGCCTGGGGCAGAGACTCCAGGGTGGGACAGTAGCCCTGGTGTCCTCCCAAGCACGTTGTCCCAGGCAGTCCGACAGGGGGAGAGCCCCTGCTGCCCTCACCTGACCAGCCTGGGGGACAGCGGCATTTGTACTCGTCAAGCGTGAGCAGGTCACAGGTCCCGCCATTGCGGCAGGGGTTGGTGAGGCAGGCGTTGTCCAGGGGCGTCAGACAGAGTGGACCGGAGAAGCCCAGACGGCAGCTGCAGGCGTAGTCCACTGTGCCGCCTTGGTCCAGCACATGGCATGTCCCGGCGTTCTTGCAGGGTGCGCTGAGGCAGGGGCTGGGCGCCTGGCACCGTTGGCCCACAAAAGCCCCGCTGCAGCTGTGAGGAGAGACCACATGTGGTGAGCCCCTAAGGCTCCCTGCCTCTCGGCACCAACACCTAACCCACTGCTGAGCTGACTGGAGTGCTGGGAGGCTGGGTCTACCCCCAACAAGCACTGGGCACAGCTCAGGTTCAGAGATGATGACAAGGTCGTTGCAGATTAAGCCACGTTCCCCCCAATACGTGCTCAAGCCTGTGTTCCTGAGAACGTGCAGACGACATTAGAAGTGTTGCTCTGTTCATGAGGCCTTAGGCGGAGAGACAGAACAAGCTGGAAGCAAAGGGTCACCGAGGGACACCGGAGGACATGCCCCGCAGCCACACTCTGACACCTCGGCTGGTGAGAAGGTGAGTGTGATCTGTAATCCACCCTCTAAGGTATTTGCATCACCCAGCCCACGTGACTGGTACCTATGAGAATGCCCCAAGTCCCCCACGGCATTCTGGCCCGGGCTCTCAGAAAACCAAGTCTCTTAGCTTTTCTGTGAAGTGCGAGTCACCTGATTTATAAAGGACCACGTGGGGGCTTCTTGACATGCATACGACTGACCGCACTGGGGGGGACCTGACTTCTTGTCACCAGCACCCCCACACCCCTCCAACCACAGGCTCACCCATTTCACAGCTGGCAAGACTGAGGTGCCTCCCCCAGAACTTGGGTCTGGCGCAGAGCAGATGTGTGTCTAGGGGGGTCTGCTCTCACACTGCCCATGCCAGGGAGTGGCTCAGATCTGCCTGCCCCCATCCCTAGAGCCCCCACCACCTGTTGGCCCAGCCTCCAGGGCCTGGTCACCTGGTGGCCTCCCCCCCTGCACCCCCCACCCCGCACTCCCAGGAAAGCTCAATAAAAACCCTGGGACCCGCCAGGCCTGATGCTTCCCAGCCGCAGAGCCCGTGAGGCAGAACGCCCCCGACAGCCGCCACCTCCCAGCCCCCTGGGAAGGCAGTTCCAAGCTCAGGCACTGGTCAGGCATGGTTTCCAGGCTGGCAGACTTGGCTGTGACCTGAAGCACAGACTCCCAGGGGCAAAAACGAAGCCCGCGGGTGGGTGAGGGGAGGCTGAGCAGAGGCCCACCCCCATCCCTGCGGCTGGGGAGGCATCTGTCTTCCCTGCCGGCTCTCATCATGGCCCAGGCTTGGGCTGGATGGCCGGGAGGACGCAGAATGGCCACTCTCTCAGCCCACCATCTGTTGCCAGAAGCCAAAAGCCCCAAACCAACTGGTTTAAAGAAAACATCCCCGCCCCCCAGCCCTGGGAGTTAACTCAGGCCCTCCTCCTGGCTTCTGGCCCGCCCACTGGGGGCTGACTCGGACCTGGAAGCCACCCCCCCCAGTGACCCCAGCTCCCCTCACGTCCATGCCTGCCTGCCTTTGGGGGCTGTGGGCTCTTGGCCAGGGTCCCCCCAGCATCCCCAGCCCTAAGCCTGGATCCAGTTACAGGCTGGCCGATTGGCCTGTCAATGTCCCCATTGTCCAGTAGGAGCTGGGCCTCGGGTCCCACTTGGAGAAAAAGATTCTTTTTCCTTGCAGCTGCCGACAAAGTCGGGGTGGGGGAGGGAAGGGGAAGGCTGGCAGAGGTGCTGCCTCATCAAAGGAACTTGTTCCCCCCCAGCAGACTCTAGGATCCACAGGAAGGGGGCAGGATGTCCCAGCACCCCATGGCTTTGGGGGCACCTGAACAAAGACACGAAGGGGACGGGACAGTGGGTGTTCCTGGTGGGCCAGAGCCCCTTGCCCCCGTACACCCCGACCCTCCAGCTTTGAGACTGAGACCCCAGCTCCCAAGCTGCACTGCGCTGGCCAGCGAGAGGGAAAACACCCCGTAAATCAGGCATCAGCGGTGGACAAAGGGCAGCAGGAGCAGGTGTGCCTGTGGGTGAGGATGAGGCGGCAGCTGCTCTAGGCGGGCCGGCAGCCAGCCCACAGGCAGGGCGGGAGTGTCGACGGGCTCCCGAAGGGAATGCAGAGGCTGAGAGGGCTCTTGTCCCCACCCTGCCGAGGGACAACACAGTGAAGGCATGCCGCCTGCCAGTTGTCCACGCTATCCACACTAGCACCCACAGTTTCTCTCCGGCACGGCTGCTGGGCGGGCCTCCGTGGCGTGCACAGCCCAGCAGGTGTGTCGTGGGGGAAACAAAGGTTTGGGGGAGCTGGAGGTAGCTGAGTCTGGGTGGTGGGATGGGCCTGGGGGCAAATGGCTCAGCAGCTCCAGAGCCACCCCAAGGCCCATCCTTCCCCACCCATGGTCTCCTGCTCTGGCACCCTCAAGCTCAAACCCACCTGTCTGTCCCACTCTCCCCACCTGGCCAGACACCTGTTGCCTCCCCTCCACATCACCCAGAATTCCCTGAGGCCGCTGCGGTGCCCCTCTCCCCAGGGTGGCTGCCGCACTGTACCAACAGCCCTGACTGAGGAAGGTTGTCCTCACCTCAGCTTTGCCTTCTGTGGGCTTCCATACGACCCACCTCAGGGCAGCATAAAGACCTTCCCGGGGCCGACAAACCAGGTCACCTCTGCCCACACCACCCTCACCAGGGGCCCCCCTCTCTCCTCTGCCTGCTTCTCAAGACCCCACCACCACCACCCCCATCCCCCCAAGCAGGTGAGCAAGCACTACCACGGGCTCCGGGAAGGGCCGGGCATCCGGCAGACGCCACTGTCGGGGTGCCAAATGCTCCCCTCTGTCTGCTGCCCACAGCGCCTGGCTCCTGCATTGTTCCGGCTTCAACATTGCCACTGTGCGGCTCCCACCCATGGCCCCCCTGCCTGCGCTCCACAGAAATGCGACTCCAGAGAGCTCAGAGGCAGATGCCGCCTGACCTTTCACCCGGGACGAATTCCAAATTGTGCTGTTTTCCTTTCTCCACTAAGTGGCCATCTGCCACCCCCAAGGGACAGCTGACAGACCCTTGTCCCAAAGTGAAGGAGGCAGTGACTACTTGGTTCCTGCCTTCAAGGTGTTTTCCGTTGGCGCTCGGGCTGCACCCTTGTGGGGTCACCCAGGAAGCAGGGCAGGGGTGCCCAGCATAGCTTCGGCTGTCACAAGGAGGATCCAAATGCAGTGAGCTCCTCACCGCCGCGGAAGACAAGCCTGCCCATGGCAGGGCTTGGCTCACCACAAGTGGATCAGCGTCAGGTCCCCGGGGTGCACCTGTTGAGGGCACGCTGCCAAGCGGGACCCTGGGCACCATGAGGCTTCCCTGGCCAGCAGAGGTGCCTCACCACTGCGGGACGATTGAGGAGTGTGGAGGGAGGGGCAGCCTGCGCTGGGCCCCATTGGGGCGACTCTGGCCCAGGATTGCTCGCGTTAACGCTGGCAGGTATGGCAGGGACAGAGTGGTCACCCCCAGGTAGTAAAGGAGTTCTTTCTGCGTCCTCTCTGGGAGGGACGGATAGAGCCATCTAGTGAGGGGGTTGTGAAGCACCCTTTCCCCTCACCTCCCTGAAGCCACCCTGCCCAGAGCCCTCAGAGCCAGGCAGGGAAGGTGCTGGAGTTCCTGGCAGCTTCTGGGCCTTTGTTCCCACACCTGCCAGGGAATCAGATGCCAGCACGTGGGTTCTATTCCAGGAGCTTCTGAAAGTCGATGCTCCAGGCACCTAAGTGCTGGAGGCAGGCCAGCAGTGGGCTTAGACATCAGGAGGAAGGGCGGCACAGCCAGACCCCCTGTCCAGGACCAGGAAGGCAGTGTCAGTCGGGGGTGGGGTGGGAATGCCCGGCCTGCTGTTGACCCTGGACTGTGTCAGGGCGGGGACCCCACTCTTGTCTTGAAACCTTCTCCCCAAGTGGCCTGGTAAATTCAGTGTAAGGTGCTGGGAGGAGGAAAGGCAGGGAGGTGACGGCTTCAGGGAAGCCCTTTGTGTGGGAGCCAAGAGAACCTGCCTCGAGCCACCTCTCCCACCAGAGCAGGAAACAGACCCCCCACACACACACACATTGTCCCCACTCAGCTCAGGCCCAGCTGGGGAAGCAGCATGTCCTGTCTGAGAGGACGGAAAGGCCTGGAACAGAGGTCAGTCAGTTTCCCGGAGACTGCACTCATGGGCACCCTGCATGGCCAGCCGGGGCCACCAGGAGCTCACCTGTCACTCACAACCCCACAGGCTGCCCGTGACAGATGCCCCCAAAGACAGAGCCCTGAGCGCCCCCGAGACACATTAGGCAGGGCAGAGCTCCGAGCCGTACCCCAAAGATGCTTAGCAAGAGGTAGGCAGGTCAGTGGGCACAGAGGCCGCTCCGATCAGTAAGTGCAGGCAGGCAGGATTTCTGGTGGATACCTGAAGCTTCTCTTTCCTAGGAGGGTGGCTACCCCTGCAACGTGCCCCTGTCCATCGAGAACACAGGAGGCAGGGACCAAGGACCGCTCAGGCCTTTCCAGCACCTTCCAGTCCTTGGGTAGAGACCAAAGTGAGGCCCCACTGGCTTCCAGTGAGGGACTGGTTCTCAGAAGCTGGCCCTGGACTGAGGATCTATCTGCTTTAATTAGTTCAGAGGAGAAACTGAGGCCTAATCAGGTGGTGCCCACGGCACTGCTGTGATCTGGGAGCAGTCTTCACCCCACTGGCACAAGGTGGGGAGCTAGGTTGCTGACCCCTTGCAACAGACAACTTCTCAGAGGCAGCTGAGGAACTACTGAAGCCCCCTGGGAAAGAGGCAGGAGTATGTGTGCCCCCCACACATACACATCCACCCCAGTTGCCCTGCCCCTGGGCTGGATTTCACGCCTGACCACCTGACCTCCAGAGTCGACAGCCTGGTACAATGCAAGCTCACTTCCCACAGGCCACTGAAACCCAAGCAGGGGGCGTGGCTGGGGGGGCCCCTCAGGCTCTGGGCATCCCTGGACCATCCTGCAGAAGGTCCCACTTTCCCGGGAGCAATGGGACCCTCCCACCTTCCTTGGCACAAGACACAGGGCATAGTGCACACCAAAGTTCATCCCGGCTCCAGTGGGCTCTGGGAAGGGAGCTGTCAGCCCCTGCAGACAAAGGCAGAGCCT